AGATTTTAAGGGCATAATTTTTTTTTAATATAAGCCTAACATATATTTATATTATCATATTCAAAAATATAAAGAATTAGACTATATATTAAATTTTCACATAACTTAAACATATTAAACGTGTTACAATATTATTGAATCGATGCGGGTTATATACGAAAAACTTCTATTTTTCTTTATTTCCTTTGCATGGTTTAAGCTTCCATTATGTATTATTAAATTTTTAGAATATCCTTTTGATTCTTTCAAATTTTGTTTAAAGATTTAATACAAGATTTTCAGAAATTTGCTCCACTTTTTTTCCCTATTCTCTACATTTCCAATGAAAGAAATGCTTAGGGAAACAATGTCCGCGAATGGTTATAAAAGAATCACGTGATATTTTCTAATTATTGATGCAAGAAGAAGAAGAAGAAGAAGAAGATGAAGATGAAAAAAGTAAATTCCAATAGTGCTAAAGCATCTGGCTTTCGCGACCAAATACTGAGGACAAAGTACAAGGAAATTAAACCACCGTTTTCCACAACTCTCCTGCCTAACTCTTTTAATTAAATAATTAATTAGGTTTTTATGTCTATACTCATCGTCGTTCGTTAATTAGGCCAGGGGCGCCAATGCGTACCAGGACTTACTATCCGATAAGCCGAAGTTATCGAGACGGAAATGAGAGACTGTCAGGATGATTCTTAATGTGCATCTCTCGCTACCTTCTTCTTCTTCTTCCTCTTCTTCTTCTTTTTTTCACCCCTCCCCTTCATTTTTTCCCCTCGCTTCTAACTCTCCTGTTTCTATTTTCTCTTTTGCTGACTGCAACATCTGGAAAATAGAAGATTCCTTAATTGTATCTTAAAATATATAAGGGCATTTTTTTTCTGTGTTAAGAAAGAACGGGTATCCTTTTATATACAGGGAATACTAAATTAAATTTAGTTGATATTTCACCCCATCTATCTATATGTTATACCAATTACATTCGCCTTCAATTGAGGAACGGTCTTCTATCCCTATAAACACATCCTCGGGAGACTCATATAATCCGATAGTTGAACACGCGGTGGTAGTAAAATATATAAGCTTGTTAGTAGGTGACAATTACATTTTGGCAATTGGCGCTGCAACATGGGGTAAGCCTCAAATTGGCTTAGGGTAACTCCTGTGGGAGGAAAGTCGCCTATACATAACGTCTACCAGATTTTGCCTGGAGAATCGTTTAGTAAAACTACCCGTGAACAATTATTTGTCTTCGAAAATATAACAGGAAAATTCCTGTTTTCTACAAAGTATTATTGTTTAATAAAATTATAATTTATTATAATTAAAATCTTGCGGAGTTTCGAGACAAGATTCTTCTTACTATTCAATTTAGTTCGGTGGTAAACAAATGAGGCATGAAACTTTAGAATTCTTTAGAATTAATTATAGATTTTAATTAAAGATGCCATTATCAAAATGCCACCAAAGACCAATTTATCTTTATATTTATATTAACCAATTTTATAAATTTCTTTATTGTAGAAAGAATAATTTAATTCTGTTAAAATTATATAAATTATTTTCGAATTTTTAAAGGATTTTTTTTTGTTTGTTAAATTTACGCTTTCTTTGCGTAGAAATTAAGCATTCTCAATGAAGAAGAAAACCTTAAAAATTCGAAAGTTTTAAAAGGTTTTTAAGATTAAATTAGCGCTTTAAGTTCGCTTCGTTTCCATAGGAATCAAGCATTCTCAACGGAAGAAAAAAAACCTTAAAAATTCGAAATTTTTTAAGATTTTTAGGATAAATTATTTTTAAGTTATAAAACAATGAAAAAAATAGAAAAATAAGAGTATAAAAATACCAATGTTTGGAAACTTGATAGAGAAAGTAAGTCTTTTACTATAGCTTGGAGTATTTTGGCTTTGCTATAACCTAAAGCCATTTCTTTTTCTTCTTCTACTTCTTCTTTTATTTTTTTATTTAGTCCCGTTCTGATGTTTTTTTCTTTAGATAAGACTGTTCTTTCTTAATGTCTAAGAACTAATAAAGATAAATGCCCAAAGCAATACGAGGCAAATAGTTAAAATCTCAAGATTAAGTCTCTCTCTAAGTGGGCTTACTATTTATATATAACAAAATTATTTTTTACTGGATTTATAAAATTACAATATTGTATTTTAATACATATTTTTGTAATGGTTCAATACATACACTTTAAAATAAGGTTTTCGACAATATTTGTTTAAATCTAGAAAAATTGGTTAGAAGGAAAGAATTTTTAAGGAGAATAGAGCTTGGAATATTTAATTCAATTAAATCTTTTTCGTTATTAATNATTAATAAAAAATGAAAATATAAATTTAAAAGCTTAAATATAAAATTATAAATCAATTTTATTAAGACTTATATTAATTCTAAGATTCTCGAAGCAATTTATAAATCGCAAAGTATCTAAATATCAGCCTCACAATACAGTTTCTCTCATACAAAAGTTTTTTTATGATGAATTTTTTAGTAATTTTATTAAATTAATCAAAATTTGTAATTAAAATTTGCACAGTTCTTACAAAAATTTAGCTATTCCTTTTATTATTAAGGAAATTATCATCAATAGGCATCAATAATTTTACTTTAAATTGATTTCACTGTTATCTTAGGACTCTCAGTTTATTTGTTGCTATTATCTAGCTGTAGGCACTATAGATCTGTATGAAGAATATAGTTTTTCTTAAATAATATATTTTTATTTTATGGCTTTATTTATTAAAATTTTCAGAATGGATATCCTGTAGGCCTAGAACGGTTTCCCAATCCGTAGTTGCAAATTGGGTAGTACTACATTGTAGCTACCTTCAATACTATATCCTTTATATTATATGCTTTATACTGTAGTTTCTAGCATATATTCCCTGTAAAACTCTGTTGTACACGTACTGTACAGGATAGATCGACTGTACTGTAGATCTAATACAGGAACTTATATTCTATACTGTATAGGCCTACACTAGTATAAAACTTTTGGTGTCTAACTTACTTGTTTGGATCTATTCTAATAACAATATAAACAGGAAAATAACTTTGTGCTAATTTGTTTCTGTTAATATCATTATAATCTACAAAGACTCGTATATTTTGGGAAATATTTACACACGAAAATAAGATAATCGGAGTTCTTGTATTGTGAAGAAGGGAAGAGTTTTGTGCTTCATCCCAAACAAAATATCAGTTGTTTAACTGAATGGAAACGAAATTAACGAGGGCAGAAAGGAAAATACAATTTTATTTGTAAATACAGATAAATAAAATATGCAATTTTAGAAAATCAATGCAAAAAGTAGTAAGCTAGAGGCATAAATTGCAGCTAACAATACAATATAGGGAAGGAGAAAACCGTACTATTATGCATATTTTAAGTGTTTTTATAAATTATTTCATAATTTAATGAAAACCTCTAAAGATAATATACTTCATTTTAAAACGTAAATGGTTCTTGGAAAACCATCATTACGCGGGTCGTAAATCTGATTGTGATTCTAATAGGCTCGGTGTTATAAATTGAGAATTCCTGTATTGATAACCCCAAAAGGGACATTTTTTTCAATCATTCTAGAAAATTTATAAACAGGAATTTACTCTAAAAACTGAATTCTAGAAAAATTGATTACAGCATTTATAGGATAACAATACAGTAGAAGTATTTCCCAAATAATACTCCACAAGTTATCTTCATGTAACTTTAAATAATTTAAATTAATTAAATTTAATTAAATTTCTACAAAATTGAATAATAATTTTTAACAGTAATTCGATAAAATATTTATTTTTTAAAATTAAAATTATATATAAAATAAAGTTTTAAAAAGAAGATTCCTTGCAGGCTGATACAGCATTTACTGTGTGCGTGTGTGTGTGTGTCTGTGTGTGTGTGTGTGTGTGGATACTGTTAAGGGAGAAAATATTTCTCTTGAAAACGACGACGGTAAATTTAAATTCAGTTACAACAGCAATTAAGTAAGATCAGTGGGTATAAATCAACGCTAATGTTCTTGGTTTACAAGTCACATTCGCCAACGAGGAGAGGCAGCTGTGACGCCTCCGATGCGCGCGCATTTCTTCACTGTTCACTGTCTCATTATATCCCGTCATTCTTTGCTGTCATTTATCCTTGACTTGTCACTTTCACTCATCCTGTGAGATTGTAGAGTCTACACTGTTGCTTATAAGTCGGAGCGTTTCATCTCGTAATTTGATTGATGAAAATATTTTCGCTTTTTCTCGGGATATCTCTTACGTTTTTTTTCATTTTATTATTTTTTTACTATTTTCCTTTTAAAAAATGATAAATATTTTGTAATTTAATTTAAAAAGTTTAATGGAAATTTTTTAGCTCGTTTCTTAAATAAAATGTCGACAAATTAGTCATAGAAGTCGTCTTTTCCGTTCGAGACGTATCGGGAGTTGATACGTTTCTAGAATAATTTTATAGAATTTCTCTCAAAAAATTTATTGTTTGTGTTGTATTTTGTGCAGTTTACAGATTAAATTAATTATTTTATATAAATTCAGAGCATATTATTAATTATTTTACTCTTCATATCGACTTATAAGTGTAGCAATTAAGTTTAATAATTTATGTTTATATTTATTTTCAGGAGCTTCTATATAACGAATCGAGGCTTTGATTGAACTTAATTTATTAAATTACTTTAAATTTGAGCGATTTATTGAAGAAAGTGTGGNACTGTACAGTACTTAACGACTTAATAACGTTTAGCTAAACGTATTTAAACTTCTAATAAATTAATAATTAAAAATAAAATTTTCATAAATTAATTATTCAACAGTTGCCAATTAATTAGTATAATTGATGTAATTATCTGAAAGTATAAAAAAAAATAATATACATTTTTTCTAAATAATATTTTCTTCGAGATACTCAAGAACTTAATTCATCTTATCTTCGTTTAATGTTAAATGGGATTAAATTACAGTTTTATTTTTGTTTTCTTTTTCCCCCCTGACAGGCCACAGTGGCATCAATCAATTGGGTGGTGTGTATGTCAACGGCAGACCTTTGCCGGATTCGACTCGCCAAAAAATCGTCGAATTAGCTCACAGTGGTGCCAGGCCTTGCGACATTTCACGTATCCTTCAAGTGTCCAACGGGTGTGTTTCCAAGATCCTCGGGAGATATTACGAAACAGGTTCCATCAGACCACGGGCCATTGGAGGAAGCAAACCACGCGTGGCCACACCCGATGTGGTCACCAAAATAGCCCAATTCAAAAGAGAATGCCCTTCGATCTTTGCTTGGGAGATACGAGATCGGTTGCTGTCTGAAGGAGTATGCACAAATGATAATGTACCCAGCGTGAGTATTCAATTGTAGTATATATATATTCTCCTATATTACATGGCTCTTCACTCTAATGTACTCTACATTTGTAATCGTTTATTACTTACTTTACAAGTAAGTGAATTACTCTAAAGTGTTTCAATGTAACCTATCTTTATAGGCCTGCTGTTCTGTTTAAACAAGGACTTAAATACAACTTTTTACACTTATCTTAAAGCGATTTAAATGTGTTTCGTGACTACAATAAACTTACGGGCCCGTACAGTAATATATTGTTAAATATAGGTATGAGACATAAGTGGTCTTTATAAACAAATAGCTTGACTTTAATGTAAATTAACCACTTTGCAATCTATAAGAATATCAATTAATTAATTTTTGGGGTAAATGAATGCAGTTTTATGATCGCAAAATATTATTTTGGTATGTTAACAAGGTTTTAGACTCGTAGACTATCAGTATAAATACAACAATTTATGTGTTTATATATAGGCTATTTTAAAAAGAATATTTAACATTAATTGGTTAAATATTAAGCTTTTAACGTACTTTAATCTCAACTAAAGCTTGTTTTTTTAGATTTTGATAATTTTACTAATTTTGAAAGCTTAAATTATGTTACTCGCCCTACTTGATTGTAGGCCTTTGGTATAGGCTATATTCTATTTTAGTGCTTCTAAAATTCTTAAATTTTGAACGAATATAGATCTATAAAATTACAATGATTAATTCTTAGATACTAAACTTGAGATTAATCTTATTTAAAGGACAACAACTAAGTTAAAGGCCTCACTCTTGTTAATTAATTACTGTTTTAGTGAGTTAGACCCACAACAAATTTAAAGTAAGCCCTTTTAGAGTACGATCTTACTTCATATCGTTTCAATAAAGTCTATTTAGAACATTCTGTCATTTAAAATAATTCAGTTATAGGTCTATATTAAGATAATTTATATAAGGCCTACAGTAATTTACACAGAAAAAAGTATGCTTTAAGGATAAGTAGGATAACTCAATTCAAAACTTCGGGGTGAAAGCTCATAATGATCAAATGGGGAATTGAAGAGAATACTTTAAAGTTTGAGGGATCTATTGTAAATTCCAATAGGCTATTGAATTTTGACGCCTTTCAACGTCACTCCCATCTGATTTGATTTTAACGATATTTTGAAAAATGATCCGATTTCGATGAAAATTTCCTAAAGAAATTTCAGATATTAACTGATTTTTGTAGATTTTCCTTGAAAATGATATTATCAAATTTTAAAATTTGCTTATTTAATTCATATAACAGCAAACGAAACCGGAGATAAGCGGAGAAAACGAATTAATAAGTTAATTACAGTTAAACGAGTTAAAAGATCCTATATTTAGAGAATTTATTTCAATTAAAACAACGTTTCTCAACCTTTAACGTGAAGAAATACGTTACGCGATCGTTAAGGGATTGCAACCCATTAGTTGATAAAAACTACATTAAAATATACCACTAACATAGTTAATTTATACGAGATTTTAAGGGCATAAATTTTTTTTAATATAAGCCTAACATATATTTATATTATCATATTCAAAAATATAAAGAATTAGACTATATATTAAATTTTCACATAACTTAAACATATTAAACGTGTTACAATATTATTGAATCGATGCGGGTTATATACGAAAAACTTCTATTTTTCTTTCTTTCCTTTGCATGGTTTAAGCTTCCATTATGTATTATTAAATTTTTAGAATATCCTTTTGATTCTTTCAAATTTTGTTTAAAGATTTAATACAAGATTTTCAGAAATTTGCTCCACTTTTTTTCCCTATTCTCTACATTTCCAATGAAAGAAATGCTTAGGGAAACAATGTCCGCGAATGGTTATAAAAGAATCACGTGATATTTTCTAATTATTGATGCAAGAAGAAGAAGAAGAAGAAGAAGATGAAGATGAAAAAAGTAAATTCCAATAGTGCTAAAGCATCTGGCTTTCGCGACCAAATACTGAGGACAAAGTACAAGGAAATTAAACCACCGTTTTCCACAACTCTCCTGCCTAACTCTTTTAATTAAATAATTAATTAGGTTTTTATGTCTATACTCATCGTCGTTCGTTAATTAGGCCAGGGGCGCCAATGCGTACCAGGACTTACTATCCGATAAGCCGAAGTTATCGAGACGGAAATGAGAGACTGTCAGGATGATTCTTAATGTGCATCTCTCGCTACCTTCTTCTTCTTCTTCCTCTTCTTCTTCTTTTTTTCACCCCTCCCCTTCATTTTTTCCCCTCGCTTCTAACTCTCCTGTTTCTATTTTCTCTTTTGCTGACTGCAACATCTGGAAAATAGAAGATTCCTTAATTGTATCTTAAAATATATAAGGGCATTTTTTTTCTGTGTTAAGAAAGAACGGGTATCCTTTTATATACAGGGAATACTAAATTAAATTTAGTTGATATTTCACCCCATCTATCTATATGTTATACCAATTACATTCGCCTTCAATTGAGGAACGGTCTTCTATCCCTATAAACACATCCTCGGGAGACTCATATAATCCGATAGTTGAACACGCGGTGGTAGTAAAATATATAAGCTTGTTAGTAGGTGACAATTACATTTTGGCAATTGGCGCTGCAACATGGGGTAAGCCTCAAATTGGCTTAGGGTAACTCCTGTGGGAGGAAAGTCGCCTATACGTAATGTCTACCAGATTTTGCCTGGAGAATCGTTTAGTAAAACTACCCGTGAACAATTATTTGTCTTCGAAAATATAACAGGAAAATTCCTGTTTTCTACAAAGTATTATTGTTTAATAAAATTATAATTTATTATAATTAAAATCTTGCGGAGTTTCGAGACAAGATTCTTCTTACTATTCAATTCAGTTCGGTGGTAAACAAATGAGGCATGAAACTTTAGAATTCTTTAGAATTAATTATAGATTTTAATTAAACATGCCATTATCAAAATGCCACCAAAGACCAATTTATCTTTATATTTATATTAACCAATTTTATAAATTTCTTTATTGTAGAAAGAATAATTTAATTCTGTTAAAATTATATAAATTATTTTCGAATTTTTAAAGGATTTTTTTTTGTTTGTTAAATTTACGCTTTCTTTGCGTAGAAATTAAGCATTCTCAATGCTTAATTTCTAGAAACCTTAAAAACCTTAGAAAACCTTAAAAATTCGAAAGTTTTAAAAGGTTTTTAAGATTAAATTAGCGCTTTAAGTTCGCTTCGTTTCCATAGGAATCAAGCATTCTCAACGGAAGAAAAAAAACCTTAAAAATTCGAAATTTTTTAAGGTTTTTAGGATAAATTATTTTTAAGTTATAAAACAATGAAAAAATAGAAAAATAAGAGTATAAAAATACCAATGTTTGGAAACTTGATAGAGAAAGTAAGTCTTTTACTATAGCTTGGAGTATTTTGGCTTTGCTATAACCTAAAGCCATTTCTTTTTCTTCTTCTACTTCTTCTTTTATTTTTTTATTTAGTCCCGTTCTGATGTTTTTTTTTTCTTTAGATAAGACTGTTCTTTCTTAATGTCTAAGAACTAATAAAGATAAATGCCCAAAGCAATACGAGGCAAATAGTTAAAATCTCAAGATTAAGTCTCTCTCTAAGTGGGCTTACTATTTATATATAACAAAATTATTTTTTACTGGATTTATAAAATTACAATATTGTATTTTAATACATATTTTTGTAATGGTTCAATACATACACTTTAAAATAAGGTTTTCGACAATATTTGTTTAAATCTAGAAAAATTGGTTAGAAGGAAAGAATTTTTAAGGAGAATAGAGCTTGGAATATTTAATTCAATTAAATCTTTTTCGTTATTAATTAAAATCCTGAAGAAATTTAACAGTACGGAGCTTAATTTTATTTAGAATTTAAAAGTATTCCTGTGATAAATCGAGTAAAATAATTATTTTTCTAGTAGAATTCTAGTTTCAGTGAAAATTCTACTTACATTTACAGCTCTTAAATGTATATTTTCTTAAAATATTAATGAATTTAAGACTTAATATCAATTAATTATTATATAATAAAGCTATTTTAATGTATTTCAAGAATAAGTATTTATAAATTTAATAAAATGTCACCAAAAACGTTCGGTTAATTCACACAAGTATAGCGTAGTTAATTTTCTCATTCTACTTCATACTACGATTCATTTTTTTCCTAATTAATTTTCTTAAATTAAAAAGAATAATTATAATCAAAAAATAAATTGCTATAATAAATCTATAATTCTTAAATAATTTAATATAGACTTAAAAATATTTTTTATATTAGGAGATACATGATTGGTTAACGTTTCTCGCCATAAGCTTATAATCCAATTATATTATCGATTCATGTACTGTACTGTACTGTACAGTACATTATATTCATAGCCTTTCATTGAATTCATTTACAGATATTGTGAGTGATATATTTCTTTTAAATCTGTAATATTTTTAACTTTAATCTTACAAAAAATAAAATTAAAACTTTATTTTTATTTATTTATTTTTTAAAGAAATAAAAATCAATGTTAAAATACTATACTGTACGTTAGAATGATGAATTTTCCTTTAAATTATCGGAAAATTCGCTAATTCTGCGGATATTTAAAAGCTAAATATTATAAAATTTAAAACTATTTATAATTTTATTATATTTTAAAAATATTTTTTGTTTTAATATTTGGAAATTAAACGATTATCTTTTAATTAAATCTATAAAATCTTCAGATTTACACTCGGAGAGCGCTTAAAAATATAGATTTATTTTAATTATTCAAGTATTAAGTTTTATTTTGCACATTGTATAAAGTCAAACCTCTGTATAACGTCCCTCTAAATAGTGCTATGTAAAGCGCCAATAAATGTTTGATTTTGCATTATAAGCGAATGTAAATCACGTCTTTTCAACTTATATTTGCGCCGCCATTTGTTCTTCCCTAAAACAGGTATTAAACCGCGTGTCGCGAAACTGAATTACTTCAAACAACAAGAATTATGCATA